AGTCTTCATTGGCATTCTTAGATTTGCTCCTTAATATGTGTTGTATGGCTTCATTGCAGCAATTCTCGTTATTCAGGAAATACCAACGAAGGAATATTACAGCTTCAAAAGATGAGGGGGGAGAGAAAAGGGGCGTCGTCAACTTACATAAGCATAGTGGGGGTATCCTGGTTAATCGTCGGTTAATTGTGGACATGATGAGATGGTCGATAACGATAAGGAAGGAGCTGCATGTCAGACCGTTGGTGCCGTTGGTGTGCCGCTAGTGGAATTATTAATATGGGGATTGGAATGGATAGAGTTAGATGGAATCCATAATAATACTCCATAATAATAATATACAGGTATTATGATTACCTAGAATAGTGCTGTACTTACATATTGGGCATGCCACATGCCACATCCATGGATGCATCATCCATTCTTCTTATTCTTCTTGCATAAATCATAAACCATAATATATCGTCACTCCATTTTACTTTACAACTTTGCAACTGATTACTTAGTCTTCGAGATTTCTACCTTACCTTCTTTTTATCTGCTTAGGTCTCACTCAAACCTGATACCCCAAACTTTATGGCAGTACGTGTCTTGTTCCAACTCGTAGAGCGAAAGAGGGAATCGGTGATCGAAGACGGAAGAAAGACAAGCACCTGGGAAGAGAGATCATGATTCTTAGGAAGACGAGAATATGGATTCCCCAGAGTCAAATGCGTCCCTAGAGCGATCGACATCACAACTCTCTACAACCTCAGCTTCCGCTAGGATCTCTCGGAATCACTCAACGCGCGCGAAATCTAAGTCTAGGAAGTTAATCTCACAGCCTTCGAGTTCGGCTTCGTCTGTCGCCGCTTCGGACAAGTCCCTCACTTCCTTCCCATCCTTTTCTCCTCAGTCTCCGCGTCATGAACACTCCTTCGCAACTCCCGAGTCCAACCATGCTTCCATCAATAATATTGAGAGCAAGATATCCGAGACGCCTATCAAGACCTCTATTGTCGACACCCTTACCTCATCCGAGACGCAGAAATCAGCGCGCAATGCGCTATTCGACGACACTCCTTTAACAACACAGAAGATACCCGGGGCTCTCCACCACGCCAACGATGAACATATCGAACGTCTAATTGCGAAGCATGGTGCCGTTCACCTTGTGCGCCAGATCGCCGAGGACCTAGCCCATCGCGACCTTCAGATCGCTAAAATACGACGGAGGGCAGACGAGAGAGAGAGGGCGTTAAGAAAAATAATCCTAGGTTGTGGATTATCGAACCTGGACCTGGAAACAAAGCTGCGATCGGTCGAAGCCGAGCTTCAGGCGCAAGACAAGATTAAATGCCCGCCAACCGGGGACGTTTCCGGCTTGATGAGTGACGCAATAGAGGATTCGATATCGTACAATGCGCTTGGTCTCGGCGATGTGAATGATGCCACAGTTAGAGCTAGCAGTCTATCAGTCCCCAGGGATAATGCTAGTAAAGGCACTATGAGGGGTTGGAAGGACTATCTCTGGGGTGGAACGAGCAGAAAGCCAAGCCGAGCCGGCAGCATCAATGAGGATATCGGAAAGACTGTTATTCATGCACCTACGCCCGTAGAGCGCCGACCTCCTATACAAGAAGATCTATTCATCCCGCCCAACGCGGACTCTGCTCGGAGCTCTAGTCGCGCTTCGAGTATTTACTCTGAAAACACACCTAGGAAAGCTTCGGCGTCTTTTGCTAGCATGGCTTTGCAACTTGTAGCCGGGAAAGGTACCTCGGTCCGCGATTCCGATTCTACTAGAGGAAGGTCAGATTCTGCAGGTCAAGGTGGTTCCGTGAGGTCATCATCAAACGCCAGCGCCAACACAGGCGCCTCGAACCGGGGAGTGTCCACACAAGGAGGACCCAAATCTCTCATGTCAATGCGGCGTACTACCCCTAAACCCCCAAATATACAATTTTCCCGGCCACGCGAAAGATGGGATAGTGTAGGCGCCAACCCCGAAAACTCGTCAGGGACGAGATCGGACAACTTTGGCCCTGTGGAAATGGATACTATATTCTCCCCCGAAGGTCAGCCACCGGCCTTGTCGCAATTATACAATAATTATAACAATAGCGAACACTTGATCGATCGTTTTGGGTTTATATACGACCAACGCCGAAAGAAGAGGCAACGGGAAGCAGCCCAGGTTGCTCTTCAAATGAAGAAAGGACACGAAATGCTTTCCGGCGGACGATCTGGCTTATCACCAAATTTAATTGACGACGAGGCAGGGTCTAACGGCGATGCTGGGAACGAAGATCGTCCGGAAAGCCCAACGTCCATCGAGGGTCCTATTGAGCAAGGCAAAGCGAAGCGATGGCAGGACTATCTGAGAATTGCTACTTTTCCCACAGAGCTTCTCTCACATACTCCCTCGATCATGGCTTCAAATATAGAGGTGCTCGAAGGGACGGAACTCCCTAGATCCCCGAGTATGATAAATTCAGACGAGCGCGGGTTTGTTCCATCTGCTAGTACCACTATTTCTGCTCTAGGTAGAGAGACAAGCCCGCAGCCGGAACCAGAGTCTGCCACTGCCACATTAGTGCACGAAGACGTCGAAGCAGTAAAGCTTCTATTGAAGCAGTTGAATGATGTTCATGATAATCTACAAAGAGAAAGATCGGTCCGCTGGAACGAATTTCTACGAAAAGTGCGCGCTGAGCGCAAACGCGAGGGTGAGGCTGCTGCGGCTAATGCAGCGGCCGCAGCCGAAGCCCGCTTCCAGACCGCGCCGGTTATGATTCCAGAAGCTAAGCTTACTGATGGCGAGACTATCGGCATCGCGGACCTCGGAGTGAAGGGAAAGGTCGGGCGCGCGAAATGGAATGAATTCAGGAATTTAGTGCTTGGCGGAATTCCTGTAGCGAATCGTCCGAAGATCTGGGCAGAATGCTCCGGTGCCCTTTCTAAGCGAACACCGGGTTACTACCACGATCTAGCTACTAGATCTAGCGAAACCGACGATGCCGTGGTTATTTCGCAGATCGAAATGGATATCAACCGTACGCTTACCGACAACATATTCTTCCGCAAGGGACCTGGCGTTGCCAAGTTACACGAAGTCCTGCGGGCGTATGCTAGACACAATCCCGAGGTTGGATACTGCCAAGGGATGAATTTGATCGCCGCAAATTTACTGCTTATCATGCCGTCCGCTGAAGACGCCTTCTGGGTCTTCGTCTCGTTTATCGAACGCATTCTTCCGCAAGGATATTACGACCACAGCCTAATGGCATCCCGCGCGGATCAGCAAGTTCTTCGCCAATATGTCGCTCAGGTTCTCCCGAAGTTATCGCAGCATCTCGACATGCTTAGTATCGAGCTCGAGGCCCTTACTTTCCAATGGTTCCTAAGCGTGTTTACCGACTGTCTATCTGCCGAAGCCCTGTTCCGCGTCTGGGATGTGGTGCTCTGCATCAACGACGGAAGCACGTTCCTATTCCAGGTCGCACTCGCCTTGCTCAAGCTCAACGAGAGACAGCTCCTTCAATGCGAAACTCCGGCTTCCATATACACGTACATCAATCACCAAATGACCAACCACGCCATCAGTATCGACGGCCTGATCCAAGCGTCTGAGGGACTCAGGAGAGTCGTCCGCAGAGAAGAGGTCGAAGATAGACGTGCCAAGGCCATCGAAGCCGACAAGCAGATGATGAAGGAACGCGAGGAGCGCAGCGCCGCTTGGCGCGCGCAAAAAGCGCTTTCGGCACCGGCACTCGTTACAGAGGAAAGCGTATCGGCCCTCCCGAGCCCAGCCCCACGCCCAAGAGAAGACAGCGAGAACAGCAGCGTCACCGCCCTGAGCGCACTAGATGATATGGATGATTTCGACGACGCGAGGGAAAGGCTCACGCCGTTGCCGTCGGAAGAGGAGGCTTCGTTTGGACTTGGGTGAGGGAGGAAGCAAGAACTAAGGTCCATGTAACGGGGCATTCAGTGGAGGCAGAGATGGAAAACAACAATGAGATAGAGCAGAGGAGGCCATTATACCTTTGGAATTGGAACTTCAAAGAATATACCTGACTTAACAGCGTGGAGTATCGATCGAAACAAAACAAAACAACACAGAAGAGCTTTGCTAGCGTCTTTTCTTGCTACTGGTATTCTACGGAATAGTACGCGCATGCGGTGGTTGGCTTGATTGATTTTTTTGATATCGTTTTTTTGGACACATCCCTTTTTCCCCTTGCCTGGTTTTTTCCTTGGGTTTGTTTGTTTAGAAGAGATTGGACTTGCATATGCGTGCTGCCATGATACCCCCTCCTTGCACTTTTTTTGAGATATATTAAATACCTAGGTATGCATTGTTGGTCGAGATGGATAGATGGGTCGGACAGGATGAGAGAGAGAGAGAGGATAGCAGATGGTGGGCTTGAGATGTAGTTAGAATTGGGGTAAGACTGGAAGGAGAGAAGATAGGATATTGGGATCCGGCGATAGATCTACGCGCTTGGAAGGCATACACTTGGTCTGTGTATGTGCCTGTTCTTGTTACAAGCGCCAGATAATGTCGTGGTAGGGTGAACGGAGATAGTGTGCTACCTTTGCCGTGGTCGGACAAGATCTGGTTGGTTGGAAAGGAGGATAGTACAACGATCAAGAGGATTGGCGGATAAAAGAGTGTGCCTGGGTGACTATAGGTACCTATACCTTAGTACAACCACCCTGTTGCGAAGCCAAGATACGAATAATAAAAATGAAAAATCAATATGTCACAACCACCACATACGAATGGGACATCATGCTTTATTCCATAGTTTGCGCTTGTATCCAAAAATGGTGTTGCTGTAAACTCTAAATCAACGTTAGTGGAGACCATACTCCAGTGCATTGAAGTAAAATACAAGGGATATAATCTCCATGACTAAACGACATTGCGCTCGCTAACGAACCTTAGGTTAACGGTAGGTACCTAATCATAAAATCAAGCGACAGGATGGAATCGTTAAAAAGTCAAAAAGAAACTCCGAATCGGGGAATCGAACCCCGGGCTTGACGGTTCTTAGATTTGTGGGAATCTTGAGAGCGTCAAATGTTAGCCACTACACCAATTCGGATTGTTGTAGAGTTGTTCTACGAGTTGCAGGTGTTATGTCAGGCCCTCATTTTAGTTTATATCTTGTAGAAGCTAAACGCCGTGTCATCCAATGAGAAGGCACATACAGCTGACTAAAACGTGGGGGCACCGTGGATCCAATAGTATACTCGAGATAGATTCATCTGCAGGATCTCGGATCCCGTATCAATTAGTCATAGTCAAAATGCAAAGTAGAATGCGACTCGTTCTCTTAACAAGATTTTTTTCTTCTTTTTTACATCCGTAACCTTGGAAGTGCTATGCTCCGCAAAGTACCAAAGCCGCGTTCATACAGGTATCTACACGTCAAGAATTCCATGACATCTCCCCCAATGTCTCCGTCCCCGTCCCGTGAGGTCTGGGTAGACCCCATCCGAGCTGCTGATCGTAGCCTCAACTGAACTAGACTGCTTTCATATCCTGTCCTTGATTGGTTATGGGTATAGATCCGCGGCGACCTCTGAAGTCGTACAACGTGACAACACCCTTCTCCCATTATTCTGAAATTTCGTAATTTTTTATACACGAGCCTGCTCCACCTTGGACTCGAATGTGAACCGTAAATGTAGGCCCCTTTCATCATTAGTCGATTTCCCCAAGCTCATGAATGTATCTCAAGTAATAGTCGAGAGTATCGGATAGGATCATCCGTCTAATGTGAGATTCGTTCTGTCGCAGGATAATTCCACCAACTCCTCGGCTAGGTGCATGCCATTGCCATAATTTCCCCTCATGTATTACCCGCAAGCATCCTCCGGCAGTCAGCATTATCGCGCAAATACCTTTACAACTCCATCCCCTCCGCCACTGACAACCCATCGGCCGTCTTGGCTCCAGACGACGGCACAAACACCCTCTCCTCTCATGATCCGGTGGCTAGTGATCTCTTGAGTGCATGATCGCTTTTCTAGAGACCAGAACCGAAGGCTTGCATCGTGACCAGCAGAAACGAGTTCGCGGCCGTCGGGGCTGAGAGAAAGAGATGAGATAGACGCAGGGTGTGCGAGCATGTTATATGTACATTGGCCTTTAAAATGCATTAGAGATATATGATAAGGACGGGAGGGTGAAGGTATAAGTAAGCAAACTTACCGCTGTTAGCATCGAAGAACCTTATGAAGCGGTCTTCGTGTCCAGATATTATAACACCCTCGATCCCGCTACTAGCCGTACCGCTACCGCCAGTAGGTCCACTCGTGTCATCATCACCCAAGCCTGGCCCAGAACCCTGGTCGAGGCCTGCCGTGGTCGCAACGACGGAATTGACGCTTGTAGCTATTGTACTGTCGTAGGTCTCAAGGCTAGCCATAGAGCCAATTTCCTCGCCCGTTCTTGTATCGAATACGATGATCGCTGCATCTGAATAACTGACTACGAAAGTTTCTCCACTGGCCGACAACGGGGTAATACACGTTGGCGAGGCCTGTGATCCGTTAGATCGGCGGATGTCGTGGACCAAGGTGTAGTGAAATGGTGAATTTGAAGCCATGTTAGGCTGAGGTGAACTTGGGAACTGTGATCCGGAACTCATGGAGTTGCCTCTAACTCGTCCACTTCCCGCACCACGACGAGGTGGTCCCGGCTGCGGCGACGTCAACTGTGGCGGTGCGCTGACAGCCCATATCTTGACTGCTCCATCAGCAGCTCCAGAAACGACAAGGATACGGTCTGGTGTGCCATATGGGCTACTCTGGCCAAAAACAGAGCCGAGGGTCGCGGGCAGTACACAGATAGCCCAGACGGCATCAGTATGCCCGTCGAGAGTCGCTTTAGGATCCACCCTACCGCGCTCCCATACTCTAATGGTCGCATCCTGGCCACCTGAGAATATCCAGCCATCGCCTTGGGCACGGCCTCCGGTGGAGAAGTTGGGGGATGGGGACCACGATGTGAGCGATAATACTGCACCAGTATGTCCACGGTGGGTAAAATCGGCAGGCACGTCCAGATCGGACGATATGTTTCCGAGATGGCCGGGGGTCTCCCGTGGAATATGAAAACGCTTGATCAAACCATCGTCGCCAGCCGTGCAAATCTCTGGTTCACCGGGACTTCCACCCCCAGAGAATATGACTGTGCGAACCGCGTTTAGATGCCCACGTAGTCCATAACGAAGCTTGAAACTACCACTCTCCGTTTTCTGTGACATGCCGTTAAGAGAAAGTTCCTGATCCGCGCTCTTCCTGCGGGACATGGAAGTCTTCCGTCTATGGGAAGCGGGTCCACGATTAGGAGACTTGGGCAGATTTTCGGCGTTAGGGAAAGCATCGGTATCCGGGCGGTGCGTAAGAGGCTGTAGTTGTTGGGTGGATGCTGGGTCAGGGAAATTTCCTTCGCCGAAGTCCCAAGCGTCGTTATCGGTTGGTCCTCGCTTCTCTGATGGAGCTTCGCCAAAGTCGGAGCGCGCAGATTCGTTCGAATGGTTCAGTCTTGCATTCGCATCTTCCTGCAGTCGAGCCGCAGGTGGTCCAGAGACAGGCCAGTCACTAGGATGCGAGTACATTGGAGCAGGACCCTCGCCCGATCGAACCATAGGTGCCGATTGCAAGTCGGCATTCTTGGGGGGTAAGTTAACGTTATGGCCCTGTTGCATCGCCGGTACATGATGATTGTTAGTATTTCCTGTGCCTGGGCGCACACTCGGGTCCTTCACATGGTTCTGATTAAGCCTCAATGCCTGGAAGGCTGCGTCGAGAGGTTGCTGATTAATAGGCAGTCCAAAGTCCCCCTCTTCCATCAGTGGCAAAGGCGGAGATTCTCGTGGGGGCATAGGGTTGGCGGGGGTGACCATTAGGTAAGTAAATTCAGCTTGGCACTGATCCAAAAAGACCCTGAGATTCTCGCGCTCATCATCTTCCTGGACACGTTCGCCTACGAGACCTTCCAGACCGGGTACTAGCTCTTTTGGTTTCTCGCCAGATGCTATGACAAGGTTAGTGTTTCTAATTCGCAAATATTATGATGTACTGGTATCAGGAGGTCTATTTCTGTACATACACTTCAACTTCTCTTGTATCAAAGCAGCCCTATCGATTTTCGGAGGTTGTTTCACAGAATGGTCTGTTGTGGAAGGTGTTGAAGAAGCAACCTTGAGCTGAGCAGCCTGGTCCTTCACCTTCTTTTCCAGAATAGTGACGTATCTCTTGAGTGCCTTCTGGGTAGCGTCTGCTCTTCTAGCTGAGCCCTCGAGAGCGGCTATTCTTCCTTTCATCTCTTGACGTTCGATTTCCCACGCGTTTCTGTCTCGTTCATGTCGATGCCACTCGGTTTGAAGGAAGCGCATAACGCCTAGTAGAAGAGACAGGTCAAGTTAGCCAGGGAAAATCCCAAGGTTATTACTAAGCTATAATTGTATGATATGATAAAACGGTACCTTGTAATGTGTACTCGGTGGCATGTGGTTGATTTGAGTGATTCCCAGATGCGCCTCCAGGCATTTCCTGGCCGCCGGCACCCGGGATACCAGATCCATTCCCACCAGCTCCCATGGCGGAGACCTGTGCCCAGCTCATGAGGTAGTTGAAAATCCGGTCTGCTAAATTGACGGTACTTCAGTCCTCACTGCCGTCTTCACCGTGTAAGTTAAGGATGGCTTCTCGACATGCGCATTTGCGTTGTAGGCACGTCCACGAGATACGATGCTGTATCCGGGATAAGGAGGTGGGAAACGGCGGGAAATCAATTGGCCCGACGTTTTTTTAGTTGGATGTAAATGACCGTCGAAGTAAAGGAATGCCTTCGGTTCGCAGAATACCGAGTGATCGAATCGTCGCGATTAGTGAAATACGAAAATGGGTGGTCTCGTTCGCGGATCAGAAAAAAAGAGGCGATTAAATAAGGCGAATAAATGAGTGAAGAGAATCAAGACGGGTTTCAAAGAATTACTTGACTCGAAAAACAAAATGCGACGCAGTACGAATGTGGTAGAGCGCCTAGCGACCTAATCTCATTGATCTTCGTTGTGAACGCGTGAATTATTTGTCTAGAAGGTTCGTCGGAGGGTTGTTGGTTTTTTTTTTAAGATAGAAGTTGGGAAATTTCGAGACGTGATGGATTTAGAAAGCTGTTAGGTTGCTCCTGCTCTCTGCTGTCTGCTGGCTGCTTGCTGGCTTTGGAACGAGAAGGACAAGTACATATCTACGTACCTAAGGCACCGGGTCCCCATACTCTTGTCATGTACATGTACATGTACATGTCTATGTACTCTGCTAAATTAGGTCATTGCCGCCCCGATCCAGCGACATCCAACCAATCAAAACGTGGTGTCACGCGAGGCTAGGTTAAAGTTCCCCTGAAGCTGTGCATCTTTCAATGTTCAATGTTGCTATCTCCCAGACGCTATGACCACCGTTCATCGAAGCTCCCTTAGCTAAAGCCACGCTACAATTTTTTTTGTTTCTGTTGTTTCAATGTTCTGCTGTTTCTGCTTATGTAATCACATACTCTAACAATTAAAGGTACCAGTTGTACTGCTGTACCACGTTCCACAATAGTATTCAACAATGCCCATGAACAGCTTCAAGAACTTCATCGATACAAGTATATTTAAACAACATTAAATTTTAGAAATTTGCAAATGCACACGCGCTTGCATACAGAATATTCTCAATCTATTGAGCTTGTCTATCTCATTCTGTCATTGCACTTTATAGCAGATGAATTGGGATGATTGGATGTCCAACGCAGAGATTACAGACAAAATACCGGCAAGGTTGAAGCCAACCGAGGTTCATTTAAGCTGTGACTGGGTATATAACAATTCCCCATTTCCTGGATCACCGCCCATGTGGCTTCCCAGTTCTCAACAAACTCTGCTTGCATAGTATTGTTTCAACTCTTAGACTAGGATACCTAGACATTCTAAACATCCTGGACACCCCGGTCCAAGGGTTTATCACATTAAATCAAACCCAATTAGCCGCAAACAACGTCAAATAACTGAGCCCTCCAAGGAAAAAGAAGATGGAGTCGCTTGAACGT